GCAGCTTGAAAACAACAAAGGCAATTTCTCACTCATGCTGCAAGTCCTTTGCGAATGGCATTGGGGCTATGCTCCTTGAGGTCATTCAGGGACTGAACTGATGGATCAGCCGTCATCTTGTGCCTCTGCAGTTACTGTGCCAGAGAAAACGAAAAAGAGCACTAGAGAGTCTTCTTTTTTTTTAAGTGTATGATATGGTATTATTATCTATAATCACCAGCTGTACGTTAGATCCCCAGAACTTATTCATCTTATAACTGGACGTTTGTACCCTTTGACCAATGTCAAAAATGTCCAGAGACAGGGATCATTCTCTGATCAGAGAATGTAACCCACACATGTGTCTTAGTAGAATGCGAGAGAATTGAAACTATTTGATGAATAGAACTAATGACTATCACTTCTATCTCAGTTGCGGGTCCTGTCATATACACAGTAATTCAAACCAGAAACCTGGAAGGGACCTCTGACTCTTTCCCTTATCACTCACAATTTTGCCTCTGAAAGCTCTCTTCCAAATGTTACCTTTGTCTTCATTGCTTTTGCCTTGGGTTAGGCCATACTCTTTTCTCACTGGGACTATTGCAGTAGCCTTCTTATTATCCTCTAGACTTGACCCCTTTCCAGCATCACCCTGCTGCCAGAGTGATCATTCCAGTGTGCCACCTTATTTAAGATCCTTCAAAAGTTCTTCATCACAAGAACAATTCCAAGACTTTAACAGGAACTATTCTTCACAATGTGGCTGCTTTTCCTTTCGCCTTTCTTCCTGCCAGTCCCACGTGTGCTAGCTGTGTTTAATGACCTGCTGCTGGGCTTTGCATATCTTTACCCCTTTGTTCCATCTAGAAAGTTCTCCATTCCCTATTACCACACCTCCTTCTTCCCCACAAATGCTTTGCTCAAACCTACACAATCCTTAACTATATTTTAAGATTTCTATTGAGGATCATTCTCCCCTAAGAAACCTTTCTTGACTTTCTCAAATGGAATGACATCTATTTCTCTACTTTCTGTCACCAGATTGCCTTATGCATATCATTCTCAAAGCCCTTGTATCATGGCTTGTATTTTTAAACTACATGCCTGTTTCCCTCAACTAATCTATAAACATCTTGACGATAAGAAGCTCTTACTAAATGTTGTGTTTTCAGCAGGGAGTAAATACAAAGTTCCTGGCACATAGAAAAGCCAAGTAAATGTGTTACCACAGGGCTAGAGATGTAAAGATAAGGAATTACTTTTAAACTCATATCATAGGAAGATAGTTTTTTTTACATGCATTTGATGGTTGATTTTTTCCAACTTGTATAATTTGTTCAAAGTGAGAAGAGCATGTGGGTGCATGTGTATGTGTGTGTGTCATGTCCCAGCTCAGTTCTTGGGTAAGTTAAATAACTCTTGAAAGCTTCGTTTTCCTTCTCTCTGAAACTCTGTAGAGAAGAGTTGTTCATAGCATCTGTTTCAAAAGATTGTTGGAAGGCTAACTCAGTAGATGCCTATAGTGACTATGTTAGTTTCCTATTACTGATACAACAAATCGATTACTTGGTAGCTTAAAATGACATAAATATATTACCTTCGAGTTATGGAGGGCAGAAGTCCAAATAGCACTGGGCTAAAATTAAGATGTTGGCAGGACTGTATTCCTTCTGGAGGCTCTAGGGGACAGTCTGTTTCCTATCTTTTCCAGCTTCTGGAGGTTTCTTGCATTCCTTGGCTTGTGGCCTCTTTCCATATTCAAATGAGCAATTGAGTCCTTGAGTCCTTATGCTGCATGGCTCTGATGCATACCCCCTCACCTCCCTCTTCTGCTTATAAAAACCCCACAACCACCTTGGGCTCACCTGAATAATCCACGGTAATTTCCCTATCTCAAATCCCTTAACTAACTCACATCTGCAACATCCCTTTTGCCATTTAAGGTGTGTAAAGTAGCATATTCCCGGGTTCTGGGACTTAGGATGTGGACATCTCTGGAGGGAACATTAATTTTGCCTACCACGGTGCTCGATCCACTCATTACAAGTGACCAGCACATTTTGGCTATTATTATTGGAATTATAGGCTATTTCTTAAACAGAGGTTGTTAAACAGACCTATGTTCCAGAGCTGAAATACTTTTGAGCCGTACAACCTTGATCAGTGTGGCCTTGTATTAACTTGGCATGAAAGAGCCCCACTTCGTTCACTCCAAAAGTAGGTTAAGTGATTCACTTTTGAACATCTCCTTAGTCATTTTTATTATGTGGGATGCCTTTATAGTAAATGGAAATTGGTATTTATTTAAAAGTACCTTCGTAGCCCTAAGGAAGGCAGTTTTACTTTCATGGACTATCATTGTGTAGTAATGACTAACAGTTATTGAGAACTTACTATGTGCCAGGAACTGTTCCAAATGTGTGTGTGTGTGTGTGTGTGTATACAGAGAGGGAGAGAAAGACTAATTTGATCCTAATGACCAGTCCCGGGGTGGGGGGGGCTTTTATTTTCCTTATTTTATGGCAGTTGAGAGTTTACCCAAAGTTTCAGGGCTGCTAAGTAATGGGATTTAAATCCCGGTGGTCAGGCTGTAGGACCTGTACTTTTAGCCACAGCATTGTAAAAATAGGAGTGTAAAAAGGATGGGGCAAAATGGGAAGACTGAACCCTCCACTTTGGGCTAATAACTCTCAGCATTTTTATAGCTCATCATGGGATAGCTTGAGGGTATTTAGTCTTACTGAGTTCTAATTTTTGTACTTTTAAAAAAATGCCTAATAGGGGCACCTGGGTGGCTCAGTCGTTGAGCGTCTGCCTTCGGCTCAGGTCATGATCCCGGGGTCCTGGGATTGAGCCCTGCATCGGGCTCCCTGCTCGGCGGGAAGCCTGCTTCTCCCTCTCCTACTCCTTCTGCTTGTGTTTGCTCTCTTGCTGTGTCTCTCTCTGTCAAATAAATAAATAAAATCTTTAAAAAAAATGCATAATAGATGACCAACTGTGAGTTGGGAGTTGGTCGGTTTTCAGAGATGCTTGAAAACAAATTGTCTAATGAGTTCAGACTTTTGGATAGGTCCTTAGGTTTGTCCCCTCCCCCTCGCTGTCAGTTGGGTTGGTCAGTCTGTCTCTTAAAATTGTACCCTAGGAACATTAACCACGGCAACTACCATACATCATGTATTACCTTTGCCTTTTGATCTATTCTGCCAACCTGCTTTGATATGTAGAGTTTAAGAGCAAGGAAGCTGAATTATTTTAGATAGTTGTTATCCAAGTCAGTGTTTCCTAAGAAAGTCCGTGTTTCCAAGGACCTCTTAGAGTAAAGAGATGCTATTAACACTTTTGCCACTGTGGTTAGATGAAAAAGATAAAAGAAAGATTATTAATATGGCTAATCATTACAAACAAAATGTTAAGAACAACTGTTGAACAATTTCATATGGAAAGGAACTCCTTTTAAGTGAGTTATTCAGGGATGTAACCATGAGGAGTTGGATTTGCTAAAAGTATGTTGACAGAGCTGGATGCTGTTAGCATAATAAGTAAATCACCTTTACGGGCTTTAAAAGTTCATTACAGCCACATTAGTGGAATTAACATGTTTTTGCGAAAAGGCTATTTATGTCAAAATAAGTAACAATGAGAGCAACTAATAAATGGCTGAAAATAAAGTTATATCTAATCGATTCATACATTCTTATGTATGAAAGAAATACATATTATACATATTATACAGTCGTCAAGTCTATCACATTTAATATGACTTTAATATTGACTCAGAATCACACAGACATTTTGGAGAGTATGTTACCTGCACCACATGGTCACAATTGAACTTTTATGCTCCAGCGTTTTATTTAGAATCCTTTGGCAGATGAAACTGTTGACCTTAGTTAGCTAGAAAACAGCTGCTTTTCTATTTTGATTTGTAGTTAATGTTTTCCAAGTGTCAAGCACATGTAGAGAAATTTTTTCCATAGACTGATATTAAACATTTTATTTATATGTCTTTTATTTTTAATGGTCCATGGACTGTTTAGAAAAGTGAGAGCCAATGAGAGCATTCATCGTAAATTCCTTTAGAAAAAAAAAACCTCCCCTGGGTATTTCTATAATGAATCAATATCACATTTGTTTATTTTAGTGACATACTCAATTATAGTGCTATATTCTGGAAGCAGTCTGTTGTCTATTTTTACTAAGTTAAAAATACATGATCTCTTTCAAAGTTTTCGGGAGTTTGTGCCGAAGTCAAATCTAGGTGATTTCCAATATCTTAGGTTTGACTATTTTGTCATTGAATGAATACCTCGAGAAAGTGACCAATTGATAATTTGTTTAACGACTATATTGTATTAATCATATTATATTTATATTTTCTGGTCAAAGATGAAGATAATTTAGTTCCTTCTCTCAGTTTTTCTAGAATTAGAGTTTTACTTTTGGGGTTTTTTTATGATATAGTCTTGGCAAATATATGAGCCCTGTTATTTTTATTTATCTGTTATGCATAGGTCACTGAAATTTGGAAAATGTGGAGAAATATAAGGCTGAAACTAAGCAGACACTATTGTCCTTTGGTGGCAGATATAGAGATATGCAGAGCTTGTGTCCTGGGTACTAAGTAGCATAAAATGATGGATGAAATTGAGAAACTGAGAAAGGAGGAAGGAAACATTGTAAGGTTCACCACATTTCATTTATTTGTTGTAAGTCTCGGGTGAGGTGGAATTGCCCTAAATTCTTTGGGCATGGGGACACCTAGATGGGAGACTCAGTTTCTCTACCTGAAGCTTTTGAGAAAGCAGTAGTTTCTTCACAGGGTTAGGTTACTCGTGGTAGAAGAGAAACTCTCTTGGTTGTCCCAGTGAAGTGGGTAGTTGTGCTAGCCACCATCTTTCTCTTTGTGTTTGCCTGGATAGAATGAAACTTGGGAAAATAGCTCTAGAGTTTTCTTAATGGGTTTTTTAAAATAAATACTTCTAGTAATGTATCAAAATATCCTTTTTTTTGTCTTTCAGGAACATTAAAAAAACCCTATTTTAAATCAAATGGGAGTGAACCTTTGGTCACTGATGGTGAAGTTCAAGTGTCTGATATTATTCTTACAAATACGATCTGTAACAAGAGCACTGTGACATCTACTACACATCCCAATCAACACAGTCCAGCCTGGACCACGGATGCTTCTCTCCCAGGGGACCAGAATCACAAGAACACAAGTAAGTCTGAGGATGGTGAATACTTGTGCCCTTTAATGTCTGTGGAACCCATGGGTGGGTTTTTAAGTGTGGCAACCAGTGCTCTTAATTCACAATCACTTACTGGTCACACGGGCAAAGCTCTACTCACTTATCCGGCAAACTTAACTGAGAGTTCTATTCCTAACATGAAATGCCATCAGCTCAGCTGTCCAGATAGGGAGAAGGGTAAGAAATGAAAATGTATCAACGTCATTCAACATTTCTGAGGCATACTGCTTGCCCCAATACAATGGTATTGATTTTATGGTGGTTCACTTCTGAAAGTTTGTGTTTCTGGTTTGAAGTTTGAAGTTACTTATTTTGAGATGGTTAAATGAATAAGTAAGTGAAGTTACTTATTTTCTTATTGGTGCCTTGTGGGAAGGATCTCAATTCTATGATAGAATGTCAATGATTTAATGGGAACTATCCCCCCATTTGCTTTGGAGGTGCTCATGTGTTCTTTTTACCTTGTTTCCCTCTTCTCCCTCTTCTCCCTCTTTTTTTGGCTGTGCTATTTATTGTATGTGTTGGTGACTGACAATCACACCTTGAGGAAAATGGCGTGTATGAAACTCTGCTTAAGGACAAATGGAGGAATATGTCAGCTATTCCAGAACAAGAGCTGGAAGAGAGAGAGAGAGGACAGCAAGTGTGGAGATGGGACCAGTTAGATGGTAGCAGGCTATGTGCTCTGGAATGTGATTCTATTCCTCAATATCCCTCAGATTTTTAGTAAAGGCACTAAGCTCCCAGAATTCTGGTGGGAGTGGAGTTGTGGGTAAAGTGTCCAAGAATGTCGGCTCTGATCCAGTTAGTGCTGGCAAAACATAATCAGAGTGCAGTCACTGTAAGAACTTTCTCTGCACTTGTCTTAGTTCTTATTTTCTTTTTTTCTAAAGATTTTATTTGAGAGAGAGAGAGAGCGCGCACGAGTGGGGGGAGGGGCAGACGGACAAGCAGACTCCGTGCTGAGTGCAGAACACCACATGGGGCTCGATCTCAGGACCCTGGGATCATGACCTGAGCCGAAGTCAGATGCTTAACTGACTGAGCCACCCAGGCATCCCTTAATTCTTATTTTCTACTTCCTAAAACAAGATTATGTGATTGAAAATTGTACAAAGCCCATCCATTCATGGTCATTTTCTTGTTTGTTCCTCCCTCTTTCATGAAAACACACAAAGGGAAATCACAGCCTAGGTCTAGGACAGAGTATTGATTTTCATTCTGAGCCAGGAAGGGAAGGATTAGGCTAAATTGTAGCTATCATAGCATATGTTTGTCAGTGTCTGAAGAAAAGCAGAATTATTCTGTTGCTTTAGCCCCAAAGAGACAGACTGTTTGGATTCCATTATTTCACACAGCACCCACATATTAACTATTTCTTATGCTTGGTGTTCATCAGTGATTAACACAGATCCGTGTTTATTACCTGATAATAATAACTGCAAACACAAATTATGCCCAGTAAAATTTATTTTCCTCATGAGTTTGATTTTGAAGTTTTTAAGATTTTATTCATGTTTTAAGCACTTCATTATTCTTTTTTTATTCTGCTTTTATTACTTAACAGTTGATGTAAGAGAATTTCTCCCATATTATTAACATACTTTGTAAACATTGTTTCTAATGTTTATTGGTTATTCTATGGTTTTGTCATATGTTTAGTTTTTCTTATCATTCTCCTATTGCTCAACTTTTTTTTACCCCAGTTTTACTTTCTTAAGGACCGTGTTTTTCATTACAAGTGCAAAAGTCATTTAAGCAAAAACTCACTCCCGTTAATGTGGTTGCAATTACAGCAATTGTTATTTTCTTTTGCTAAGTGGATTTATCTCTATTTTGAAAGGTTTGTCATTTGTTAAGATTCAAGTAGAGGTGGCAGACACATACTCTGAAGAGTAAAGAAACATATGGTATTTGTTACTCAGTTTGGAAGCTTGATGGAAGTCTGTTTGACTCGTTTTCTCTTCCTATGCCTGGAACATTGCTTGAGACTATGAACGTAATTTGACGTGTAAAGGAAATCCAGGTGAAATTAGAACGGTTAAATGGAGAAAGGTCAAAACCTTTGAATATATATCATTCCATGTCGTTAATGTACTTGACAGTTAACGTTGAGCTTTACTGTCTGACCACCTAGACCCTCAATAGACTGTCGATATTAACTAAAATTATTCATTGCAAAGGATTTGATAGTTTTTCATACATTTCAATAATACTGCTAGCCTGTGATTATAGAGCTTTTGGTTGTTTTGAGGGCATATTTAAATACTTTCTCTGTGGTCCTTATAGGTAATTAACTGATGAGGTGTGCAGGACAGACAATACACACCATTTCAAGTAAGGGAATTGAGGCTTAGAGAAATTAAGTTGACATATCCAATATCACTTGTGTAGTAGTTGGTAGGCATTAAATTGGAATTCCGTTCTTGGGACTCCTAGACCACTGCTCTTTCAAGAATTTCATGCTTCTTCATTTAATTTTATTGCATTCTTTGTTGTTGCAGAACAAATTTAAGCTCGAGGAGAGTAATTTGTTTTGTTCATTGCACTATAAAATATTTATTGAATGAAAAAGAAATGAACTACAGTCATTTCAAAATTTTAATATCTGATTTATCACTTTTCATTAACAATATCTAATCATACTTCTGCACTTGATATTTAACCAGTTTTACTTAAAGCATCATTTAATGCCCTGTATCAGTACTAACACCTAACAGAGGATTTGCTTTTATACTTTTAAAAAAATTATTATCTAATTGAAATGTCATTTTAAATTCCTGGCATATGTGAAAGCTATTTAAGTCCACTTCAGTCCAAAAATACAGTGCCCAGACATTCTGTTCTATCCAAATATCCTGGGTAGGAAACCAAGGAGAGAACTCCAGGCAAAGGTACAAGGAAGTAGCCTTTCCTTAAGACCTTTCCGCCTGGTGGTCCTCAATATCAAGCCAAAGCATAGACTACTATAGTTTGTAAACTCTTAATCAGAATACCCCCCCCCCTTACACTGTGGTGGAGCTTTGTAAATGTAAAACAGGTTTTATGTGACATCTGTTACTTCTGGATTTTCATTAGCTGCATTTTGAAACCCAGTTGTAATATGGAAAGGGAAAGCTTGCATATTATATTTCAGCAAGGGATTTTTCTAGGTTGCATTTTGTATTTTCGCTTTTTTGTTTTCACCTTTCTCCTTACATATTTTTATAAATATTTAAACGTAAATTGAATTCTAAGGAAAGGGAAAAAACTCTTTGACCAACCAAGAGCTTTTGGGTTAAAAATAATTTGGTGCACAATGAAGTAACCTAGAAACTCTGGTCAGGAATTAAAGTGAGAAAAGAGTGGGGTAATGTGCTAGAAGCTTCAAGTATTCTGTTATCATGCTCTTTGATAACCAGCTCCGTAATCATCTGTATCAGATGAAAATGCATCATGCCTCTCATTCACTTTTAAAAAAAGATTTATTAGCACTGATAACTTTGTACCAAAAGTGCCCTAATCACATGCTAAAAATTTGCTGAGTGTACATGGAACACTACATCAAAAATTAATGATGTAATGTATGGGTGATTAACATAACATAATAAAAAAAATTGCTGAGTGTAGAAAGCTTACACACCAGTCAAAAACCCTAAAGTTATTCTTTCTTCCTAGTTTTCTGTTTGTAACATGGTGTTTCTATTAGCTTGAAAGTAAGTTCTGCCAAGAGTATGAAGCTAAGGGGATCAGAGTCTTGAAGTTTTGCCTGGATTACTATTCATCAGGCAACTCTACAAAGGGGGATTTTGGGGAGAGGGAGTCTAATTAGAGTCTAATTAGACATCTGAAATCACGTTAAGTCCCTTCTCCTTTTTCCCTGACATTTTCTAATCTTATCCACAATAGAACACTGGATGTCTTCATTATATTTTTTAAAGTCAGTTCTGCTGTCCTCAGAGTAATGCACCCACCTCTATAGCTTACTGACTATGGATTATTATGCTGTTTGGAGTGGGGATCTGTGCTTATCTGTGCTCATATGTGTAAATGGGGATGAGTGAACAGATTAAGTGTGCCCAAGAATTGTATCCTTAGCATTCCTTGCTTTTTGTTGGACAGTACTTTTCCATCTGGGGTTTGAGGGACTCAGATGTATTCTGAGGATCCAAGAATTCTGTATAATAATTTCTTAAATATATGCTTTCATTTCAGTGATAAAAAAATAACTACTGTAAGTCTGACCTCAATAACCTGGGTAACCGTCTTATAACAAGTACTTACGTGGAATTTTGGTGCCTGTATTTGAGTTTCTATTTATGAGTTATGTTACTGCTAAGCTGTATTGCCTAGACGTTTGCCAGCCATCAAGAAACGGACAGAGGCAGACTTGATAGATACTCTTCTCAATTGCAGAATGAAAGTATGTACTGGCTTCCTGTACAAAGGGCACCTTCATGGCGATTCAAACAGAAAAATGGTGACCCACTTGCTCAGCTGGGATACATGGTGGTATAAACTTCCTAAGTACAGAAGAACTTGGGACTCAGCACCATACTTTTCATAGAATAATGTTATTATTATTCATTAATATAATTAACTTAAATTTCATTAGCTTTGTAATTTTGTTTCTATTTAAATTATACATACTAATTTTGTAGTTGCGCTAGATCTATAAGCATAAAGTGGTTTATATCTAATTATATATACACCTGCATAACTTTCTCCCTGTAAGAATGCCTGTGACAATTTTCAGCTTGCAAAATACTGCTTTCGGGTAACAGAATTCTAGCTGTTTGTGTCACAAACCCAGAAAAAGCAGCAAGGCTCTATGGCAGAGCTTCTTAACTTTTTTGGTGCCAAGGACTGCTTTGGCAATCTGGTGAGGCCTGTAGGTGCCTTCTCAGAATAATGTTTTGGTGCCGAAGATAAATTACACAGAATCACAAAGGAAGGCAATTTTATTAAAATTCAGTTATCAAAATATTAGA